GTCTAGCTTCAACTGACTCATGATTTAAATCTGTGAAATTTCTAAAATCTCCACAAACCCCTTCTGATAATTATTAATATCATTATTGTCATAATTGTTGTCGAATTAAAATACATCAGTGGTTTTATTGATTTTCTCTGATATCGATTCTTTTATTTATTAATATAATATTTGATTTCGTTAACCTTTATTTTTAGTTCGTGAATTACTTAGCAGTGGAGTCTGTCCAGATGTAGCCAACGAGGATGGATTAACAGCATTACATCAGGTAAACTATTTATAAGTTGAACATTATAGAATAAATAGTCAACAATATATTTCTTATTGATTAAAATATTACTAAAGGGATTATCAATTATAAGTTGATTGTTTATCAACCAAACCAATTGTGATTTTATTCATCTAACAGCCTACCCCCAACTAATACTTATTAATACCAAGATAATACGGCTTAAAATTAAATCCTAGCTACTAAACACTGTGCATTACATCATATTCCTGGTAATCTATGTTCACTGTAATAAAGTGACGGGTTTATGCTTTATACTTTATTTCGGTAGTCTACATCAATGTGTTGCACTCGTAAATCTGTCTATTTAATATCTGTCGATAAATATGCTACAACAGTAACCTAATTTTTGCTAGTACAAATGTGTAAAATCCAATTAAATTATATTGATTATTCTCATATTTCAGATTATATAACATTCATTTTAAATTGCTGTGAGTTTATCATCAAAGTTCACCAATCTACAAACTTCTACTTTATTTCCGATCATTGAAATGAGTCTTATTTACATTTATTATACTAGATAAACTTAATAACTAAAACAACTCTTTTATAATAGGTATTCAGTTTGTTAGTTATTAGTTGGAACGACATCTGTCTACTTAGTTTCTCATACAAATAGAAATATCACTTATTTGATAGAAAGTGTCCGTTATGTATATACAGAATAGTAGTGGGGACAGGGTGAATTGTAACTATCAAACCATTCTATTCGATCTTGTTTTTTTAAAAAGTATTTTGCTAAAATTAAATTATAAATATCCATTTTTTCTGAAATTATTCGTTATCAGTGTTGTAAAATTGGCACAACCACGAATTATGTTTAATAATGTATAAATTGAGGAAGTACTGTTAAGTATTGGAAAATCGAACCTGATTATATTTCCTGTTTACTAAAATTAGAAGATAACCGGAAAAGTAAACATATATCCTAGTGTAGATACATACAGAAACACTTACAAACACTATTACCCTAAAATTTATAGTGCGTAATATTTCCTCTGTTACTGTCACCGAATAATTCTGTGTAAAGCCATCATAATTATTTATCATAATATTCGACTTTATCACCTTCATCTATTAACGAAAATAACTGAGAAAAACAATTCAGAGTTTGAACTGACTCAATTTTAGTTCTATTTTGTTTTATTCATAAATCGAAATGTTTGCATATGATTGTTTTTTAACCCAGTTTAGTTAAAAGTACTACTTTGAGTACTATTATATATGATATTTTTATGCTATTATATAACCTTTTAGATTTATAGTATTTTAAAGAGTATTGTTCATAATTGTATATTATGATTAGTAGTAGTTGAGAGGTAAAAAGTATGAGAAAATCAGAGTCTTACGTCGTTTAGCCCGTCATTTATCACCTGAAAAAATCGTTAGTCAAAATACCAACGTATGAAACCTTGGCCTTGTGTCAAAGCAATGACGCGTTAACCAGCACAAGCAGCCTAGAGTCAACTGTGAGTTATTGTTGGTTCTTCTTGTTCTGCTATGCCCGTTGAGTCAAGAACACAATCATAGATTCTACTGTATGAATCATGTATCTCAGACATAAGCAGTTTATATACGAGCGAACTATACCGCATCACACCATAAAATAAAAAATGACAATTATACAAGATCAAGCCAAAAGTGATTGTGTGTCTGAAAGACTACAATAAATAAATCGGCAATAAGTTAATAATGGTAAATCGTATCGCAATAGCCAGTAAACCAAATAAAAGAATACGAATATATATATATATATATATATATATATATATATATATATATATATATATATATATATATATATATATTGTTACTTAATAATTATCCAATAAGGCTATATGTAATAGTAACTCATAAATAATCCCTAGCAGTTACCATTCATTTGTTGTTTGTTAGGATACAACACAGAGGAAAGGAAAAAATAGAACCTGTTTATGCGCATGAAACATGATATTTGTTGTTTGATCAGTGCAATAAATAAGTGAATTGAGGTCGTTAAACAAAAGTTGTGCCTGAAAGCACTAACTTCTAGTCTGAGCCATGTTGGTAGATGCAGACTACTTGATTGGGGTCCGCGTGACTTTCGTAACCAATGGTTGGAGACTCTTGGTGACATGGCTCAGAATCGATCACAATGGCGTCGGTGTATACACTCTCTGTCTTCCCTTAAACTAAGAGATTAAAATCACTTCACATCTTTCTTTCTACGAACTAATTCTTTCTTCCTATACTATATCCTTATTGCAATCTTTCTCCTATATATTACCACGTTTGACCTAACCACTCCTATGAATCCGCTGTTTATCTTGCTGTGCTAATGAGGTATGGCAACCTGGACCGATGCATATATGTGCCTGGTCCTACGTTGTAGCTGACTGACTGACTCTGTTTTAAAGTACTTTTCGTGTGCATTAATGAATATATTTTACGTTTGTTTCCAATATCCAAATATTAATACATATAAATAGTTTATCATTACTGAATTCGGTGTCAGTCAATTCGTTTTTTTTCTTCTTGAATAAACGAATAACTGATTCTTCTCTATCTAGGTCTATATTTCAGAAAAATATTTCAGCTTAGATTCCATACAAAACGTCCAATTGCGTTTCATTGAGACTCAGAACATGTAGCTAGCTATCATGAAGATATGTTTATGACAAGACAATAATATTTAATAAATCCAAAAATAATACACAGTATTCTGTATTATTTAATCTATTGATTTTTGATTTAAAGTTTACAAAAAAAGATACCAAAAGCACATAATCTGACAATTAAAAAAAGTGTACTTTCAAAATGAATAAATTTCTAAAACACAAAATTAGTACGTATAATACATAAATTTAAAAGGAATAAAATGATTTGTGAACAGTAAACATATGTAGCTAACTTTGGTAACATAATACATTGATTTGAGTAGGAAACAAGTAATGTTTATATCTATGTTATTGTAGTTAAAAGTACCACAGTAATTCGATAACTTACGCGGAAATATAATTAAAGTTAGACAAATTGAATGTAAAGACATAAGAAATATGAATCAGATATTTTAAATTCTTTGAAAGATCTTGATATTTAGCATTCTGTGTCATATGTTGTGGGACGTAAAAGCTTTCTTTTCAGTGAATAAACAGTATACTTGATTTTCTGTATAATAACCAAGTTTCAGTCATTTTTCAAAATCATGTTTGACATACTTTTATCCTTCATTGTTGTTATGATTATTAAAAAGTCCTGCTTTATTCAAATATAAGATTGCATATATTCACCAATATTAAATTCTATGGTAAAAAACTAGACAGTTATTTAGTGCATTGTTTTTCTTTTGATTTGCATAAGACGCCAGTATATAATGATAATTACTTTCAAAGCGACATAATTCTAAAAAGAGAAAAACAATATCGCATTTCAGTTTGATAACCAAAGAAACTTATTGTATTTTCGAAAAAAAAAACCAAAGACAGGTTAGAGAAGGCAATTTTTCAGTAATATCATTAACTAAGCCTGCACAATTAGAATAAAGAGTGGTATTGGGTCATAAGTTACACGAGAATACCAAATATCGAAATGAGGTTATGCAATGCTATAACGGCTAATGAAAATAATGTTGAGATACAAAAAGTTGATTAATTATAGATAACTGTTCACTTGATGAATGTTATGAACTGAATAATAGTAATTAATAAATGATTATAGCAAAACTAGAATATCATCACTATAATAGATTACTGAGTATGGAAGATAGGCAGAGAAGTTAAGACCACAGTAGGATGAGTGATTGAAAATAGTACATTTGTACAAATAAGTTAGTCTTCAATTGGTCGGTTTCTAAAGCTTCTGTTTTAAGTATGTTTAAAGTAACACAACTTCCTTTTTGATATTTTTAAATAATTCATTGTCCAATGCCAATTTATTTTTTAACAGACTGCCATTTACATATATTATGTCATTAAAAATGTGACTTAATAGCCTTAGTAAGCGATATCATTGGAAAGAAAATTCCCTTTTCTGAATTGATTTTAATTCTACACAGATGAGATCTATAGAGTTATCGTGACATTTTTACTAATTGTCTATAGACTAATGAAGTTTAATGAATTCGGAAGATGTAATTAGACATAGGTTAGACAGTATCATAGATGATAGTACCAGTTGCGTAATGAATAAACAAGTGATTGTTGGATTCCAATCTAAATAGAAACAGTTCAGCCTGGTAGGTAGTTTTATTCAAGCGATAAGTCTCGAAAAAGATAAAAGTCACTTCCTAAATCTCACTTTTTTCCCCTTATTTACTCAGAAATTTTACACAGTTTGTCATTCCTGAATGATGTACAATTGTTTCTCACTCAATTTATCAAACGTTTTCCACAACTACACTGCATATTATGAAAATAGAAAATACTCATTAGAAAAGAAATATTGTCACGAAATATCTCTACTTTATATTAATTTATCCGCCCCTTTTTTAGATTTTTCGCTTGTCATTATTTCTACCTATTAGTTCAAGATAATTAATTTGATCAAAAAAACTATAGTTTAAATTATTGTTTTATCATGTGAAGAATTCTCTTCTAAACAAATAATAATAGAAACGTCCTTGAATGTGCTTGATGTGAATATTGATCAGTATCGAATGAAAGCATTAAGGAAACGAAATATGATATATAATCTCTTTTGTTTAATTGTACTGACCTAGTAACTCCTAAGACATTCTGAAAATAAAATATAGTTTTTGAAAAATGTTTCAAGCCACAGGAATTCAACTAATGTTTACTATCATTAGGGTCTACCTGATATCTTTTGTTGTTATGGCTTAAATTCAAATGAAGCTGTAGACAATTATTCAGAGTAAATATTGTAGTGAACATTATTCAACAAGATTCAAACAGCCAATTATTGAACTAAGTACTTAAGTGGTTGATGCAATGACGTTTGAAGCGAACGGTACTGGGTTCGAGTCCTGTTATGAACATGAAAGCTGAAATTCAAGGTCATCCAGTTGATGGGTCCCGGACAGGATGAAACACGCATCCTGGATTCTACTGCCAGGCACTAGTAATATCTGCTTGCATTACTTGTTACTTAAGGCAATATCAAAGCAATCTGCACTGGATAAAGATTTGTTAAAAAAAACACTGATTAATCACAATCCTAAACATCAGTCTGAAGATTCAGACAAACAATACAAGTGAACATAATTCACTTAAAACAAAATCTGCATCCAAATATCAATAAATCACTTCAGATAGATATCATAAATATTTTGTAGTTCAATCGAAATGAAATAAGTCTAATGATTTATGCAATTATATCAAATTATCGCTAGATTTATGATGGTTCTTGAATTAAAACATGTTTGTAATCAATCTTACAATCAAAATATAAGCACATATCTCTATTATTTCGCCATATATATATAATGAATTCGTTTTGTTCCGTCATCTGTATGGTTTGGTTGTGGAGCTCTCATCGTTCATCTGAATGACATCATCAGTACAAACTTCAGGTAGAAGTTTCATTATTACAAAAGGTTTAATATATTCTATTAATAATTAGTTTGTTAATATTTCGAGCTTATTCTGAGTTACATACATAAATACTTTAATAATGAAACCAATAGGTATTATGTTGACAAAAACGTTATCGCATATAAAACATTTTACTGTGGTAGATAAAAGGTCATTTAATTCGATATATATATGATGATAATCAATATGATTTATGCTCCAATAATTGAGATAAGTATCACCTTCCGTTTATTTATTTTTACGAAAAGTTTACAAACAACTTTTATTTGAACATTACAAAAACAAATAAAATAGATTTTCTAGTTACTTTATTAACTTTTATGTTCTTTCGTTTAAAAAAACAAAAAAATTTTTCAGTGTTGTATTGATAACAATTTGGAAATGTGTCGGTTACTTCTTCGATATGGAGCAAATCCTAATTCTCGTGACACAGAACTATGGACTCCATTACATGCGTCAGCTACATGTCATCATACAGAGATGTGCAAAATTCTAATTGATCAGTAAGTTACAGTTATATTTTGGTTTAATTTTTTTTGCGATTTGAATAATTTATGAAGTGGGACGGATAGGTTTCATGGAGTTAGGTTAAAGCCTTTTGCTTAGATGCACTGAGCAAAATTGTCGTCTTGATTTAAGTGAAGGAAAAAAATCGAGAGAATTATCTTTAATAAATTAATCAACATGAAATTATCTGCATTCCTGAATGTATAACGTGCAAATTATCTTACATCATTTATGATATTTGCATCACTCTCAGTGTAGCTGAATTTCACCATTCAATACTTCCAACCAGAACACATTCCAAAGTATATTACAAAAAAAATGATCATATTTCCACTGAGATTTTGATGGAGATTGGCTTATTTCAGTTAAGAAGATACGACATCATTGAAGTTTCCTACCTAAGTCACAAATCGTTTCCATTATCTCACTTCTATCTGTTAGGTTACGGATAATAGAAAGATAATTTACCAAACTTATAAGATAGAAAAGAAGTAATTATACAATCAACACTTTATCTTCAGCGATCCTTCAGCTGATATCGACAGTTGATTGGAATATATCTTCGTCGGTATAACCTTGCTGATTTGTTATCCTACACAGTTACAAAAATTAATCATAAGAAGTATTATGTCTTGAAACGCTAAGCAACATCACGTGATATGATGCTTAAACAAAATTCGGATTACTGATTGGTTTGCCGATATCGCTATAAGAACCAGTGACCTAGGCATCAATTAACACAGTAACCAATCAACAACAACCAAGACCTTTATGTTTGTTGTCTTCAAACTCCTAATCCATTTCTCAATCAGAAAATGCAAATTAGAAGTAAACTATTTCTCTATGGTATTCAATATAACCATAACTCAAAACCCATACTTGGAAAGCCTGATCGAATAAAAAACCGTGTTACAAAAAGTCATATCATAAATGGTAGGGAGCTTAGCAAACAGTAAATTAATGATAATTAAAAAATATTAATGCACATAAAAATGGTCAATGATTCCAGTGAACTCCTGCAGTTATTTTGATTATATATATATATATATATGGACAATAAGAATGAATACTGATTATGTGAATCCATTAGCTTCTTTCCAAATATTCTTTTTTTATGCAGTAACTAATAAGTAAACTAACACAAATTATAAAATATCTGGTCATGTGTTCGATGAAAATGAAAGCCATTTATTTTACTTTTTATGATACTAAAGTTTGATTGGTTGATTAATGAAGAGGAAAAAAAGAAACAAATTGAAAATAAAATAATTTTTTATTTGATAAATATTTATATCAATAGTTGAAATCACGAGTTAATTGAAGCTAGAACACCATGGAAAAGCTGGAAGCACTGGACGGCCGTTTCATCCTAGTATGGGACTCCTCACCAGTGCGCACCCATGAACCCCCCACCGCGAGATTTGAACCCAGGACCTATCAGTGTCGTGTACGAGCGCCTAACCATTAGACAACTGAGCCGACATCCAACGGTGTTAATGTCTAACTTCAACCAATCCACAAAATTGCGCCACCGTACACCATTTTCTTCAGTGAGTTACTATCTCACAACAGACCTGATTGAACTCCAGTGGTCACAGCTTCTCACCAGAACTCCAGGAAATGCCTCTTGGAGTCAGTCACTAGTGAGCAGATGATTATTATCAGTAGGGGTTTTGTGGAATCTCGCGGGGGTCAGGGTCTTGGATGCACACTGATTGAGAGTCCCATACTAGGATGAGACGGCCATCCAGTGCTTCCAGGTTTTCCATGGTGGTCTAGCTTCAATTGACTCATGAGTTCAACTATCAAAATTACTTAAATCTCCACAAGACTCCTTCTGAAACAATTTATATTTTTGTTAAGTTTTAGTAGAAAAAAAATGAACACTAGATCAAATAGAAAAGAAAACAGATTATTAGTATTTGACCAATTTTTAAAAATAAAATGTTAATATAAACTGAATACATTAGAAGAGATTAATAAAAATGTATTATCATCAATATTGTGAACCAATAATATTAAATAATATTCTTAAGAAGTGCTTCATTGAATGTATTTGATCCATAGTGACTTTGTTCCCAGATTTAACTTTGTTCTTTTTTGGTGAGTGAATAGTATCATTAGTATACACTTGGAAAGGTGAGATTGAAGTTGGATTAAATGAATATTATATAAATGAAGATAGTTGTTATGAAACTACAGAAGTAGAATTCGTGTTAGTTCACATTCATCAACAAAGTGTACCTGATATCTTGCGGAAACTGATAGTCTTAAATGTGTTAAATCAGCATATCCTAAATTCATAGTTTAAGGTGTTGCTATGAACAAGAACACAGGTGAAGACAGCCGATTTACTATTTCAACACAATCATTACAGAGTTTCTTGGTAAAGTGTAAAAACTATACACTGAATACCTTTTTTGCAAATTTCCATCATTCGTTTTTCATATTATGTATGATTCTCCCAATTTACAACTCCTTTCTAGTTCCGTTTCTGTTCTCTTCAGTTCGATTTTCCTAGACTTCTGCTGCAAGATTTTTCGCTTATTTATGTTTCGTACTACTTAAGTTGACAGATATAAGTGTGATACACCCCTATATTATTTAGTTATCTAAATAACCACAGAACGTCATAGATAAGGTGTATCTGAAGGTTCGTTACTTAAATCTTGAGTTAGATTAAATTAAATCAATTATTTTCTTCTTTCAATATAGAATACGATTATTAGAATTCCTGCACTAATGTGAAATACTTTTCTGACCTTCGAACAAATTATCGACCTATTTTTTTGTAAAATGTACTTATGATCATTTTTTTTGTAACTGTGATAACAGAATAAAAGTACTATGGGACAGAAATTAGATAGAGAAATAAAAAATAATGTTGGCAATTAGCTAATTTTTGTTTTATACAAGTAAATATACTTACATTTTTATACTTAATTACATTTTCATAAATAAATACATTCTAGTACAAAACAATAAAATACACATATATATGTAAAATATAAAATTCTGAAAAAAATAAAAACGGATCAAAATATTTTTATATTCCGTTTTTTTCTTTTTTTCCCTTTTGGACAATTTTTTGCAATTTTTTTCGTGAAAATAAAAAAATATTTTTTTTCTAAAAATATTTTAACTTTGTCAATATTTTCAATGAAATTTATTAATATTTCGAAGTGTAATATTAATGATTATCAATTATCCATTAATGAATGTGAAGTGGTAATTTGTTGTTTAGTATACTCGACTTTTAATCGATCGATTACAAATTCGAATTGTAATTCGTTTATTTTAGCTTGGACAGCAATACCGCTCATAACAAAAATTGTGTAACTTTAAACTGAATTAATAAACTTTTTACTTGGTAAATTAGCAGCAAAAGGATAATAATAATAATAATAATAATAATAATAATAATAATAATAATAATAATAATATGGAGTAATACCTTACTAAGTCATACCATGTACCATTGGTGAAATTCTTAGCCTGTGATACCGGTTAGCTAGTAATATTTTATGTAAACCGATAATTTATTTAAATTTTTATCATCTGTATTGGTGTGTGTTAGTTATTCAAAATTCCTAAAAGAAGATATTCTATCATCAATAATTTTCCTTCTGGTACACAGTGAACACATTAAGTTGCCAACATCATAATCCTATAAATATGACGATAGTATACGTTTACAGATAAGCATGACTGATTGAGGGAAAGTGAAAATGTAAACCACTGCATGTTACCTCAGTGGTCTGAAGGTTAAACGATCCCTAGTAGGCCTGAATATAATAGGTACAGTGGTATGTTCCTTCTACTAAGGAAGTCTGACGAAACAGCTGTTCAGTACTTCTTGATTTTCAATGATCGTCCAAATAAAGCCAGTCAGTGATATAAAACTGCCAATCGAATTTAGTAATTTTACTTGAGTTAATATTCAAAGTGTTCTTGATGGTTGTCAGCTATTTGTTTATCTTGAAAAATTAAAGAAGATAGATCTAATGATAAATACCGATTTAACTCCTAATATATTTCATTTTATGTTTTTAATCATTTTCTGTAGCGGTGCAGATCTACTAGCTATGAATGTTGATGGTAATATGCCTTATGAATGTTGTATGCCTGGACCAACACTGAATTTAGTAGAAACCGAAATGGATAAAAGAGGTTAGTTTTTTATTGACCGGAAATTCATAAATCGTTTACGTCACAAATCGATACTGATTGAGATACCATTGAATAATGTAGAATATTAAACATTGTATAACTACATAGTAGTATACGTTCATGATCTTGTCATGGACCCTCATTTTTCCAGGCAGTAATTCTTCAGATTATTAATTTGGAATCCACTGATCCAAACTTTTAATCTCATTTATTTCACGATAAAACGCAACAATCATGTAGTGCCTTTAGTGTTCAACTTCCTTACTCTATATATAAATGAACCCTGCTAGTCAGAGATTAGTCTCTAAAGCAGTCACTACTGAGCCAACAATTATAATTTCCTATAAATCCTTTGTGGTAATTGATTTGATTCATACTATTCTTCACAAACTCTGTATCCAATAAGAAATTTGTACTAATAATATTATGTCATCCCTTTCATTTCCCGATTTTGCTGTATGTTTCTTAAGAATTAATTTTCCTATGCCATATTTTTCACTCACATAAACTCTAATTATTTCTCACCTCGTTATGTTGATATGATATTAGTAAACTTGAACTGATAGACATCTATGCCAAGTTCTTTATTCTATAAGAATAACCAATAATTCTTGGATTGTAATAGTACTTCAGCTATCTTCCGCTCATGATGTGAATTTGCCTGATCATTACAATATCTCTATATTAAGATCTTAGATAAATAAATAAAGAATATTGTTTTCCAATAAGTTCTCATCAGCTTCTGATGTTTTAAGTCCAAATTAATTTTCCAAACAGGATAACTAAGTCTAAAACAAATACATATTTTCAAATTTCAGCGTGACCGCGGTGCCCAAGGGAAAACTGCTTAAGGTTGATCACACACGACCTCATTATGAGTAATTTTTGTATTAGCTCTTAATTCTTGAGACCTTAGCGCCGGAGATGGATATCCGTGAGATAAGGCCAGGTGTGCATTTTTGTGGTCGACTTTTACTAATCCCACTCCTCCTTGTGGGAAGGCAGCATCGCTGTCATGCTGGTTGTTTAAAGAAAACACCTTACTGCTGTCAAACCTCTTTACAGTCAGCAGCACGACTTCGCCTTCGGACCTTGGGTTGGTTGCTTTTGGTCTTACCGCTCTTCAATCGACCTGTCTGGCATGGTAGGACCTTGAACAACGGTTTTTCCAGCCAGTATAGCTTAGTTGCTTCATCACGATAAGCAAGCCCGACCACCACGTCAAGGTAGCAACAACGGTCTGTGATTGAAAGGCATACCTCAGAAGTACATAAATCTTGTAAAGGCTCTTTACTCGAACACTACTAATCGAGTCAGAGCTTATAGCGAACTTTCATCGATTACCACAACGTGCAATACTGACTAGTGTTGGGAATGGTTGGAAGAAAGTTAGGGCTGGCCAAACCAAAACGTGGCATCAGTGCTTGAAGTCACTAACTTCTAGTCTGAGCCATGTTGGTAGATGCAGACTACTTGGTTGGGTTCCGCGTGACTATTGTAACCAGTGGTTGGAGACTCTGAGTGATATGGCTCAGAATCGATCACAATGGCGTCGGTGTATACACTCTCTTTCTTACCTTAAACTATGAGATTAAATTCGCTTCATATCTTTTTTTCTACGAACTACTTCTTTCTTCCTGTACCATATCCTTATATGCAATCTTTCTCTTATATATTACCACCACTGACTTAAATACTTCTATGAATCCGGTGTTCATCTTGTTGTGCTAATGAGGTGTGGCAACTTGGACCGATGAATATATGTGGCTGGTCCTACGTTGTAGCTGACTGACTGAATGTTTGCACTTTGTGATTACTTGAACCTGTCCTTCACTGAAAGTAAATAAATAATTTTGAATCGTAACCTTATTGTTTTAAATTTATCTTACTCGTCTAGAAGAAAAATACAGTTCCGATTATTTATCAATCATTGATGACTATTTTTTAAGTAATAATATCTGTGTACCGTCTACTGGTCTACTTGAATTGACTACACTTAAATCATAAGCTCTACTTTCGTTAACAATGTACATTATTGGTAACTATAAAGATAGTATTTTATTTTTTGTCATTCAACTATCATCCCACTAAAAACCAGATAGATTGACAAATGAGTACTTACTTATACATAAAGTGTATAAAATACTAAATTTTACGGATGAAATTATCTCCATCATTAATTTATCTTGCTATCAAATAAATCTTGGTCATCGATAGGGTGTTCCAAATTAGTCAATATAACAAATGTAAACTATGGCTATGTGATCCGATTCAAACTAAAAAAACCCATCCTAATTTTGGTTTTTCATCTGTAATTGTTTTTTCAACAATGTCAAACAATTGCAAAATGTCAGGTGGCTTTTGTGGATATTATAGTAATTTCAATTGTTAAGATCATGAGTCAGTTGAAGCTAGACCACCATGGAAAACCTGAAAGCACTAAATGGCCATTTCTTCCTGACCTGGGACTCTTCAACAGTGCGCACTCACTATCCAGCTCACGGGATTCGAACCCAGAATATTCGAACTCGTGCACGAATACCCAAACTCTGAACCACTGAGCCGGCATCTGATGATGTTAATGTTTCGCGCGAAAGACCGAGAGTCTTGGGTTCGAATCCTCAGAGCGGGAACGTGGATGAGCACTGCTGAGGAGTTCTATACTAAAACGAAACGGTCATCCAGTGCTTCCAGGGTTTCTGTGATTTTCTAGCTTTAATTGACTCATGAATTCAACTATTAAATTACTGCAATCACCACAAAGTTCTAGTGAGAAGTAGTGACCAGTAGAGTTCAACCAGGTCTGTTGTGAGATAGTAACTCACTGAAAACAGTGGTGGATGTGTCGCTCAATTTCGTGGATTAGTTGAAGTTAGGCATCAACACCGTTGGATCTTAAGCATTGATATTGTGAAATGGCTTGTTTTAGCTCACTTAGTACAAACTTTCAAGCATTTTCGTGTATATTTACCTATTCTATGACTATACTGATTTGCTAAAAATGTAGTAGTTCATATAGCACATCCTTTTCAATACCTTCTGTTAGATAGATGGAATACGTAATTAGAAATTGAAGAAAAACTGTCTAGCTATGTGTTTTCAGGTAAACTAGGCTACATCAAATAACTTGTTAATAATAGAAAAGAAAATGTAAATTTTAGCTCAATCGATTAAACAAACCTGACATCTTAATAAACAGATAGATAAAAGGTAATATGAGTTTTCCGTGTCTTTGTGTGTGTGGAGTTGCAAGTATGCTGGCTTTTAATTGATTAAATGTTTAGTATTTTGTTTCACGTACTTCATATGTTCGGCTGATTATACACACATCATATAATCCACCTTTCTATTTGCTTAACGTGTACACACATTCATACCTTCAAACTTCTAGATATTTATTCATAAATAAATGAATTTATGTGTCTCATGGCTTAATTAAAATACTCAACTGAAAAACGCTAGTTTGTATCGATGATTATTGTTAATCGATTTCGTGGATTTTATTGAAAATGAACCATTTTAGATTAAATTTCATAAAAACAGAATGTTGATACAGTTTAGACGGTAGTCATATGCGACGAAATTCACTACCGAAATGATTATTTTCTGATTCGTGTACACATCTATACCAGTTAGGAAACTTATACTGTATTATAGTAGACACTTTCGATTTAACCCATAAGGTGATTTTTTGAGGACTGATTGAAACCATAATACACTAAACAATCGTTCCCCTCTGATTTGAAACTATTCGGAAAAAATGCACCAAAAATCCAACCAAGAGTTTAACTTTAAAACTCTTATAGAGCTCCTTGCAATTGAACCACTAACTTGAAATCCAACTTCAATCGGTTCACAGTAAAACGCGACATAATTAAATTTTAATAGTTACAACCAATTATTAAAGTTGGAAAACTGCGGGTCACTGAATTTTAAACATGCGATCTCAATGTAAGGTATTTGAGGCGAAACCTGAAGGTCTCAGGTCTTATTTCTGATGGTGACATGGGTAAGCATATCTGAAAAGAACTAAGACCAACCATGTGACTGTCAGTGGCTTCCCAAATGATACCATTTGGTAATGAAAACCGGCCATAAATTACATCTGTCTTCATAACCTCTTGAATAAAACTATTTTGAATTAATGCCAAAAATTTGATTTCTCGATTTGGCTGCACATCAATGAGTTTCAAACTCAGAAGTACAAGAATTTTCTATGTTTCAGGAACATTTAGTACGTGAACCGCGTTCATGAAACTTGATTATTTTCCAAAGATTCAACGAAATATGGATTGTTTCAAAAATTTAATTAGAAAATGAAACTATTTAAGATGAAATAAACAGAGATACTGATGCTGTTAAATAATTGGTACTTTCGAAACATTGTTAGAATGTCAAAGGTATGATACTAAATATAAATATAAGATAAACTAATGAATAAAGTCATAAAATAGAAATAGATGAAGTATTTATCAATTATACTTTATAAAAGTGTCTCCAGTTTTTATTCTGACTACAGGAGTATTAAAACAAAAAAGGAGTCAACGCTATTAAGCTTATAAGTTATCAATACCAAGGTTAGACTTGATAGTTTCAAATATATTGAACATTGGGTTGAAAATTATATATCTACTCTGAAGAAGTGGCTTACATTAAGTGACGAAACACCAGAAATGCAATTTTTGTACTCACTGGGAAATAACAAAAAAATACTATCCGGCCTAGTTATAAAACAATTTTGTTTTATTCACGTCTTCTCGGAGCCTTCAACTAGGTAGTTGTTCATCATAATTAGTTTATACCTGTTTTAATCTATTATAACCGCATAATTACAGACTACACGGTTTAGTAAGTAAAAATATGTCATATGAATAACCTAAATTCATTTGAAACAACTACAGATCAGGTTAAAAGGTTAGGTTTCATGATTAAAAAGATAAGTCATTGTGTATAATATTGTGAATATGTGAATCTACTCAATTTATACAAGATAACCATAATTAAAATTAGATGATAAAATAAAACGATATTAGACAGTATTCCAAAATGTGGATAATCTGATTTTTCTCAGTAGTTTGAAAGTATTATGCTCATGACTGTCGAAGTCTGTCAAGAATGCTCATCTCTGAAGAGTCTTTGAACTGGATGAGACAGGTGTTCAGTGATCTCTGATTTTCTATGCTTCTTCAGCTGGAGTCAGTCTATGGCACAAATCTACTTTCAAGATATATGTCTTCATAAAAACACCTAATTCATATACATGTTTTTGCAGCTCTGTTATCAGTAAAGTGATATTTCATGGAAATAAATCTTGTAAACATGTTACCTTTCTAAAATATCCTTTATATCAAAAAAACAACAAAAAAGGGGATAAAAATAAAGATTTTGTTAATATGTGTATTTCTCTTGTTCTAAAAGGCATAACACAAGAAGAAATAGACGATTGGCATCGGGTGCCAGAATGTGAAATGCTTGCAGATATGGAAGCCTTATACAAAGCTGGTGCAGACCTTGATCGACTAGATGCACAAGGAGCATCTATGGTGAGTAAAGCTAAGTGGCCTTAGTTTAGTTATTTTATATGAAGATGAGTTGATTTTTAGTTAAATTATCATTATCTTTTATAAATGGAAGAATAGGTTTATAATGTACTGACATAAAGTGGTTGATCTATATCAGTTTACAGTTGTTATATATCACATATTCAGAACCTAAGAAACACTATTCTTCAATTGAAAGAATGAAATAATTTTAATTATCTGAATATTCCTACACTTCAGTGACCGAGTGACCAATCAAATCAAAAGCATTTTAATGATGTTACTAGTATTGGAATTCTTCACTGCAGATATGGTACAAAAAATAAAAACCATCATTTTACAGTTAATCGATCCAGATAAACACATTTATTTCTATTACAACATCGAAGCCAATAAACAACTGTAAACTACTACTTAAAAGTAATAAGTTATTCATGAATGATTCATATTTCCAACTTCAATGAATTCAAGATATTATTTTTATCATTGATTAAAAGCTCTATGAAATACTTACTATTCAATTAATTCATTGAAATAAATTCTATTTACCAGTTAAATCAATTAATATGAACTTGTGATAAATTACTTCATACATTCTGTTTGCTAATTAGATTTTACCTTTGAGTTATTTGTTTCCAGTTAGGTTACTTGTGCATAATTGTCGTAGACTATTTTCAAAATACAAAATCATGATTGTACAGAGGATAAAATATCAGTAACTTTATTATTGTGTTCACAAATATACAAATCATATTCATATCACCCTCTATAATGAATGAGAACACAGGCGGAGACAAAGGGAATACAACACTACAGAATATCTTAGTAAAATCTGTGAACCATACAGTAAATACGTCATTTGCAAAATGTCCACAAATTGCCTCAGACTTTATCGCTCCTTTATTTCTATACCAATCACTCACTGTTCTTGTTCTCTTCTCTCAGATTTTCTCAACCTTCTGCCACCAGACATTTCACTTTCGACTGATGATATATACTATTTACATCTATGGATATCAGTAGCACACACCACACCTCCAGTATAAAATAAGACATCAAGTCACTGTCACTTTTTTTTCTTTCCTCTGTAATTCACTCACCAGTCACATTATTATTAAGCTTTTAATTTAAAAGAAGGAAATTATCAAAATTCAATAACCTAAGGTTTAACTGCATTTCCACTTTGTAGTTAAAAAAAGATGAACTGAACAGATTTATTATGATTTGAATATCTTGACTGATTAATCATTATTTAAGTAATTGCTAGGTTTAATAATACTAATGATAAGCTATATCTCATCTCAATTAACATATTACCTATATTCATATGAAGATTATCTTAAAAATGTACCAATATTTTATGTTTCAGTAGTATTTATTATAGTACGATATCATTATTGTTTAATTACGTATATTCATGAACGGTTTACACACTTCTCTTCTTATCTCTCAACAATAAGAGATATTTATAAATATAAATTAAAAACAATAATACCGATTCCATGGCATACTGTATATCACAGATAAAAATTATTTTAATCATGAAGTGATAATAACTATTCTTAATCCTGAAATTTAATTTAACCAATTATACTGATCTCTTTACTTAGTGTTTCATGGTTTATGCTTTACAAATTCCCACATATGACTTTAAAATTATTGATTTTCTTCATTTTCAATTCCAAACGTTATGGTCCCAGTTTGTTTTTATATATGTACGTCAGATAAAGCGTTATAAAGTCTATGTATTTACCCTAATGTCTATAAATGCTTATTCACTCATAGCATATCTTGGCAAAAAAAAGTAGAAATTCTGAGTACAACAGACATCACTCAGTTGTTTCCATAGACTCAGAAGTACACCAAATTCTTTAGTCAAAGTTATATGAATAAAAATCTAAAGTATAAGACTTAGATTCATCATAATGGTTGCTACATACGAAAAGAACGTCTAATGACAACAAAGTTTGTTAAAGTTTAGATGTCAGTATTATTTAGTGTCAGTGTATATGAAGGTTCAAATAAACCTTTCCGACTGAAGAGTAAACTAAGGTATTCATATGTTTTAGAGTAAGATTAACAGTGACACAAAACATCAATAAAAATATTTGAAAAATTTTATATACATATAATGAAGGCTTTAATAGATTCATTTTGTTTTGTTATTGTCATAGTGTGCAACCCGGTTATGTTAGTTTACATTCATTCAAGAGCCTTTCCGATTTATCTAAATGACGTTAAAATATTTGGACATGGACAAATCTCTATTGCTAAGTACCGCATATAATGCTTACATTTTATGTTTATCTTAAAGTTGACAGACTAACCAGAACGTGATTTTGCGGTTAGTGATATTGGCTAGGCAACTAACCTATCTACTCACCATAACTCACCTATAATTGTGTATAAACTATCATGCAACCACTGAAACATTTAGTTATCTGCTTCTCCCAATATATTCGTTACCTTCGATTTCGTGAATTCATTCAATCTTTCCTACTACAATTGATACTGTTACTACTTCCAATGCTTCGAGATTTGTTTTAGTAACTCCATCTTGTTGCACCTGAATAGTATGGTCACATGAAACGATACACATTTTTGTCAAGTCCTATGCTGCATATGACTGACTGAATGACTTCCTATTCATGTACAAATATATTTAGAGACAGTTTCATAAGAACCAAAAGCGTGTTGGACAAATCTGTTGACGGGAAAAAATCAAAGTTTCCATACTTATCAAAATCAAAAATAAGAGGACGATTTCATTTAGATTGTCATATAAATGTTCAAGAATCTCTCTGAAAAATTAATAATAGGTTGACATGAATTTTTAAGTTATAAGGACAAAGTAAATCGGATATACTTATGAAATTGTCAGCAAGGGGTTGTGGAGAATGTTGACTTTCATTGAAATCGTGAACCGATCTGAGTAAAACCACTATTGCAAAGTTGAGGGGACTTGATGGACATTTCCTTCTAATATAGTACTCGTCAGGAGCTCACACCCACGAAACGGCCGTCCTGTCAACTAGCTTCGAGAGGAAATTTCCGAAGTTCTGGTGAGAAGCCGTGACCAGTGGGGCTGAGCCATGTCGAGTATGAGGTATTCGCTCACCAAAGACAATCGAAGATGTTTGTGCAATGCCATAGATTAATGGAGGTAAGACACTATTACGCTGGATGTCTGAATGTTAGTCGTTCATACGCGAGACTGAAGGTCATGGCGTACGGACTCGCAGATGAGCACTGCAGAAGAATCCTATATTCGAACGAAACGGCCGTTCAGAGCTTCCAGGTTCTCAATAGTGGCCTAACTTAGATCAGTTCATGATTTCAGCGAAACGTTTGCAGCTAAAGTGCATGTCATTACGTTTTGAAATGATAAAGGTGGTTCGTAGCTGAGAAAACGGATTTTGTTCCTGATTAGTTCTTATGGTGGACCAAAAAATCTAAGCATCTATACATAAGGGATTATCAAACTCTTACATACAACGGGTTAAAAATAATGTCAAAAGCAATAAATCGTCTGGTGGACTTATGCAATCATGCTATCATATCTGGAATGCAATTTTAGATACGATCGAAGATATTCAAACGCCACAATAGATTATTATATCCTTCGACATTATAACCCTATTCATCTCGACTGAACCACAGAACATTTACTTATTCGTCACCAATTATACAAATCACTCAGCGCTTATGATGCTTCAAAATCAAAGTTTAATTTAGCTCGACAAGTTGTGTGTAACAACATATTTCCGGTGAAACATGCAAACAAGACGTTCAATCGGATCACCGATATCCCGATCAATTACAGAAATAATAACGAAGAGACTAGAAACTTTAGTTTTACCCATGACCAAATCGAATTTGGATACGTTTTGAAAATGGCACATTTGTTATTACCATAAAAGATAAAGCGAAAAGTATTTATATTTTGGTCAATAAAATTCACATTAGTGATAGTATCGAAAACCAAACTACTATATTCGAATGTTCTGATCACAGTAGTTAATAAAAGAAAACTTGAGACTCAAGCATAACAGAAACTAACTCATATCTATCAAATCCTCATTTAGAAAAACAATGACTCATAAATTATGTGCTGATACTGTTCACATTAGCAAAGATATATTGCAGCATAATCACTGAATGGAAGATTAGAATAAAATAAATAACGGATGGGTTTCCTAAAATAGCTACCCACAAAAATTCATCAGGTAACACTTGTCTAATTTATTGCCGTAACCAGAGCGATAATCATCAAACAGATAATACTATCCTAAAAGAACATCAACTCCAAAACCACAAAAGAAATTATTCGAACTCATACGAAGGTAGGTGTAGCCTATAAAATCACGAAATCTCTCCAATCAGTATTGTGCAAGTCAAGAGAAGAGACAGAGGAATACAAGCTAAATATATTACAAGGATCTATACCATCTCAGACTGAGTGCCTACTATCTTCATCTGCGTAAACACCAACTACCTGATAAACGCTACGACATATCTTCACTAATATCAATATATAAAAATAATGAAATCAATTTGATCATGAAGACCATTAGAAATCGAACAGAGGAGTCACATAGAGAAGTATGGAATTTTTTAAAATCTTGATACTCAAATCACACACCAATCGATAAACGTATTAAAATAGACCAAATCCATTCCTCAATGCAGAAAAGGATATACGAGGCCCAAGTCGAAGATTGAACCAGAAAAAACCCATCAAGATAAATAACAATAACAATTATGCTGATAGTAGTACAAGCTGTCCATCAACTGTGAAGAAATTCTAATAAGCTTCTTTTTAAAGTATGGGCTGATGATATTGTTCAGAATATCAGAGGAAGCACTATAGTTAAACCTACTAGCTCAGACAAGTTAACAATAAAAAAGAATAGATTTACTTCAAAATTATTTAAAGCCGTTTACTAGCGTATCAAAGTATGTCATAATAATAATAAAGTATATATTATATACATAATTATTTGTTTCTGTTTTAAACGATATATTATTGTGAGAAATAACGAAGATTTAACATCTTTGATATTACTGCTTACAACTACCAAAACTGAAGTAATTAAAAGGAAGTTAGTGAATTTATTTAGATTAGAAAGACCACACTTTAAAGTTCAAAATATAGAAAACTTTATTAGTCCCCATCAAATTAATTACTTGATATTATGACATCGATATCATCATCTAATACATTGATTAAATATTCACTAAGTAAAAGAACTAAACTTTCAACTTTTTCTACCTTAAATTATTTCATTAATTTCATTTGTGACAATTAGAATAATATCTACTAGCTTTGACCAAAACGATTTACACAATCATTTACTTATCAACCAGAAAACTTGATCGGTCTGATTACTAATTACTTGAAAATAACCATTAGCCTAAGATTCTTATATAATGCTCACATTAAAACATATCGTAAATGTGATAGAAATTATATACAAAAAATCTAAGATATAATCTATTGTTTCTTATCAGAATATAGTTAGATTATGTAACTTTTCAATGCAAATTCATGATTACCACCAGTAATAAGATATTTTACAGTAAGAAATAAATAAATAAATATTTTAAATTTCAGTTGTTGTGATTCTCTTAGGCTTATTTATATGTTAGTTAGAAACTGGTTCAATTTTCAACGTCAACTATTAATTCAATATTCAACTTAACAAAATAAATTGTCATATCTTAATCGTCAAGTTATGATAAACATAATCGTTATCGTAATTTTAATAATTGAGACCGTGAGTCAGTTGAAGCTAGACCACCATGGAAAACATGGAAGCACTGGACGGGCGATCCGTCATATGGTGGAACTTCTCATCAGTGCGCATCCACGATAGCTCAATTTTGTGGAATAGTTGAAGTTAGACAGCAGCACCTTTGGATGCCAGCTCAGTGGTCTAGTGGTTAAGCGCTCGCATGCGAGACTGATAGATTCTGGGTTCGAATCCCGCGGGGCGGGGTCGTGAATGCGCTCTGCTGAGGGGTCTCATACTAGAACGAAACGGCTGTGCAGTGCTTCCAGGTTTTCCATGGTGATCTAGCTTCACTTGATTCACGATCTTAACTATTAAAATTACTACAATCTCAAAAAAACCCTTCTGTTGTTATCGTATTTTTTTAAGCAAGAAAAATATCTTTTCAATTTTTTTTCGTAACTAAAGATAATTTCATTTTGATCTGTCTATCTATCTATGCGTGATAAAATTTAGTGAATCTCTATGCTTGTTTGTTCAGTGCTTTATTTTTCAAATTGTATTCATCATTAGTTTTGCTATAATTCCATTTATACCGTTATTTTTGGCTTCAGTCTACATCCCTTAATTTACTCTGTTTCATTTCATTGCTTTTTTCTGTTATGATGAATCTGTAAATTAGATTTTTGTAAAAAAACCGAAATAATTTTATACGTCCTATCTTTTCTTGTCTATTTTTTTCAAGAAATTTAATTTTTTATGAAACTGGTATTGTGTGTTCTGAATTTATTGATTACCTACTAGTTAATATTTGTTATGAAGTGAATTATGGATAGAAAAAAGATCTTGATAGGTTCGTATAAATGAAAGACAATGTGTTTTGGTACGAGTAATTACATAATAATGGAAGCAATAATAATAATAGTCTTATGATTCATATGGGGTATTCAAAAACAGTAGAATATTCTGAGTGAACCCCTGTTCTCGATAACTACCTTCTTAAATGACCTTTCAAATTTATAAATAGTACATTTTGGACGTAAACTAGTCGTAATCTGTGCTAAATTTCACTATATAAAAAAAAACAATGTTTATTAGACCTATTTGCTTACAGCTTAACTGAAAGATTTCAATAACATAATGAATAAATCATTGTAGAACAAGATAATGAGGTAATTCAAAATAACTATCCGCTCGAATACAACTTGTTTTCGAAATAGTTGTAATCTTCATTAGAATTTTGTGAATTTACGGGTACATAGAACACATGTATTTTCAAATTGTATTACTTGGTATTCAATCTATTTCTTCGTTTTGTAAACATTTATGAAAAAAGTTTCAGTTTATATGTTTTTGAACTTGAACTATTAGGCTGTAAATAATTCATTTTTCTAGATGTTATCGTCAAGGGAAACATTTGGAAACCTGTTGGTTGTTATTTACAACATAAGTTTCAGACTTCTTAGGAATGTATATTCACATCCCTAAAATTTGACAAAATCCAGGACCTATATTTTTCGTGGAGATCACAATATCTTTACATCCTTAAACGAGAATTCAAGGACTCAGATTTCTAGCTTTATTCATCTTTCAACATGATGTGGCCATCAAACAATTTCATTTGTAATAACTATCTCACAGACAACATGTTATACATTACCAATCACTGCGTTCAGCTAGAAATTCAACAAAATTCACCTCAAGAGATAGGATTCTGAATTTGGCACCGTGTGAGCCCCGCTGTGACATCCTAAACATGAGCGGAAAATGTATTTAATATTTTCTGGCCTCCAACACTTTACTAGTCAGCTAATGACGAAAACAGTCTTCTTATGTAATTTCCATTCAATATTATATTTTAAATAATTGTTTCGTTAGCTTAATTTTCAATCGTTTGTCCTCTTAACCTTAAAAATAAATTTTTTTGTTTTGATATAGTTACACATCGCAGCTGCTAGTGGCTTTGAAGAAGTTGTTTTGTTTTTGTTAAAACGAGGAGCAAAAATTGATCTTCTTGATAAAGATGGTTGGCAAGCAATACATATTGCAGCTTGTTGGTGTCAAGTAAGTGTATATTATTCAATATGTGGTTTATGCTTACTCATGAGTAGCTTGTAGATTTATATAATTTGTGGAAACTGAATCTTATTTTTTTTATTGAAATCACCAGTCTATCTAGGTTAAACAAGCATTAAAGACTATCAAGCACTGAACAGCTATTTTGTTCTAGTATGGTAATCATTATTGAAGCTCATTTACAACTCCCTAGAACCCTAGACATTTGGTCCCACACTCGAACGCTTAACTTTTAAACCACTCAGCTGGTATCCAGTGGTGTACGAACTTAACTTCAACCCATCTAAGATACTACCTGACTACTTTTTCATCGTCTTTGCTGGTTATCTACCTCATACTGGACACAGTTAACTTCAATGGTTAGAGCTTCTCATTAGAAATTCTGTAAATTACGTTTTCTTCAGAAAACTAAAAAATATGTTGTTAAGAATTTTCCTTTGAATTCTTTTAAACTCTGATCATTGCTGCCTAAGTGTCATCGTTTACAATGTTTTAATAAACCATTAATATCGCTGATAGATAACAGTTGTTGAAATTTGAGAAATTACCAAGCATTACTTATTATTATTGTTTACTTTCTTATAGAATTTACATCTACATTCAATAAGATCATAAACTTTCAATTTTGTCATCCTTTCTTTAACTGGTTTGTTAAAATATGAAAGGTAAAAATATCTTAATTCTAATTATGAGGTATTTCATACCACAACAATGAACACTGTATTGAAATCTAATAAGATGTACTTTATTATGACAAGATCTATTATCCAATCCGACTATATTTAACACTGAAAATAGTCTTATCTTCCACATAATGATTTATCTGATTAACGTATAGTACGAAAATATATATAGTGTTTCGTGGATGTCCATGTGTAGTCGGTCAAAAAGTGACTAAGTAGATCTCCTTATGTAATTAAATCTTTAACAATTAAACATTATTAAAAAACCGTTTTAAACAAACGATAAATATAATAACATTTCTGTACTACCCACTTAGTGGTAATGTGGTAATGTGCCACCAATCAGAAGTGGAATCCCTGTTAGACGAAGGTTGAGGAGATCGGATTGAAAAGAACAGGAATGTAAATAAAGAATAATTGTAATAACAACAGGAATGAAGAAGTTATAAAGTTTGTAAGAGACAATTGATGGAAGGTGTGCAAATGAAGTATTTAATTTATAATTCTCGTATTTCGCTAAGATATTCTGTAATTTTGTATATATTACCAATAAACTGACCTTCTCTACCTACGTTCGCGATCACTGCAATTTTTACATGATCAATCATAAGAATTCGTCTTTTTGAATGTTTCCCTCATTAACTTGAATTATAATTAAGTGATAGAGTTGTAGATTTACAAAGTAGACTTAATAAAGTCACGAGGCTGATGCCCCTTCTGGTAACCAGATCAACCATTTATTTAGGTACATGGAATGCTCGTACAATGTGGGAAACCGCGAGAGTCTTACAAATTGACAAAATAAACAATCGAACATTGACAATATACGCTTATATAAATTAACTTTTGAAATTGTTCCACTTTACATACATATTAAACAAAAACTAAAAGTTATTCAAAGTGACGACCTTTGAGCGACGCTAGACTGACCTTGTGATCGTCCACATAATAACTAGGACCAAATGTGGATCATAAACCTGTGTAAGGAAGTATAATTACGATTTACAGTTGATGGTTAAAGTTAAGAATTAGATTTAAAGTTTTCATCACGAATTGACATAAGCTACAATGCCAAAACTCTTTTTAACCAAATGGACTAGTTAATTTCGCGTCAAAATCTAAGACTTGTTATCTTATACTCAATTAGTTCGTTCATAAATTATAGTCTCTCCGAAATAACATTTAACTGTCGAATTCATGAGTCAATGTAGACTAGACCATCATAGGAAACCTGGAAGTACTGAAGGGCCATTTCGTCCTAATATGGGTCTCTTCAGCAATGCGCATCAACGATTCAACCATTTTTATGATGATCTAGCTTTAATTGACTGATAAATCCAAATATTCAATTACTACAATCTCTACATCACCTCTTTCTAAAATAACATTCCTCTTACATAATTTTAATAGATAAAATAATTTAAAAAAAGAAAATAAACCACAATTAATTATCCTAAATCAAATAAATTAGTTTTAGAGATTACATGTGAAACAAAATTTAATGACTTGTTGTTTCAAAATTAGATTGTTTTCTAAATGAACTTAAAAAAAGAGGAACATTCATATAGATATTTAGAAGGAATTCACCTATATTCAATAAAAACTTTTATATAAATTTGATCGAATAGTTTCACAGTGTTTGAGCGCCGTGTTAATATGAGATATTAAAGAGGAAGAATGTATTTGAATGTATATATGACTGCAATTTACATTAATAGAATTTTACACCTTATTTCAAATCAAATTAATTGACTAATGTACAATCAATAACAATAACAGATAACAAGTGATGTTTGAGTAGAAAAATTATTAATAGCTGAAATGGTAGGTAAATTGTAATTACAGTTAGATTTAAATAATTTAGAACAATATTTTTTTCGATTAGATCCTCATCGGTCTTTACTCTAATATATAGTAATGTTTATTATCAGAAGGGGTTTTGTGGAGATTTTAGTAATTCCAATAGTTGAGATCATGAGTCAATCGAAGATACACCACCATGGAAAACCTGGAAGCATTGAACGGCTGTTTCGTCGTAGTTTGGGACTGATAGGTCCTGGGTTTGAATCTCGCGGGGCGGGATCGTGGGTGCGCACTGCTGATAAGTTCCATATATATATAGTTCTAAATTACAATATGGGAATTTTTCAGATTTAAATAAATCATTTATTTTACATGATCGAATGCATGAATTTATTCTGTTTATATACAGCTGTTCTATCTAATTTATTTATCTATCGATAAAATTAAAAACATCTCATGTTGTCTACTTATTAATTGATAATTTCCAAACAGACAATAAATCATATTGGTTGACTTTGAAAAAGTTTTAAATAATAAAATAAGGATCAAAACAAAAAAAAAGATGAAAAGAATTTTATTATTTTTAAAATGGTGAACATAAGATAAAATTACCTATTTAGTTTTGGTATTAGAAAGAGGTTTTTTGTGGATATTGTAGTAATCTAACAGTTAAGATCATGAGTCAATCGAAGCTAGAACGCCATGGAAAACCTAGAGGCACTAGACAGCCGTTTCGTCCTAATGTGGGACTCCTCAGCAGTGCGTATACACGATCCCACCCCAGCCATGATTCTAAACTAATGGTGCACATGGGCCCAAGTATCCCGCAGGAACAAGTAACGTATGAACCAATTATTGGTCACTGGCTACCATGGGACTGCATCTTCCAACGTTGCTCTACTGCCTTGTGTACTAGATCTTTGGGTCAAAGACTCGGAGTGTGGCCCCCTAAGAAAACCACTTACTTTTGTTTGGGCGCCCGTGCAGTATCCCAGCTCTTACACAAAACAAATGATTTATGCAGTGCATATGTATTTTGAGATGGTGGAGAAGATTCGTAGCTCAGGTGGATGATTTTGGTGGTGTTTTGTTCTCTGAGCTGGATGGTTTGGTCGTGGAGCTTTCATCGTTCTTCTGAACGACATCATCAGCACAAACTTCAGATAGAAGTGAAGTGTTCGAATTTCTCCATATGTGTTTCACAACATCGAGGTGCACAGAACAAGCTGTGAAACACATATGGAGAAATTCGAACACTTCACTTCTATCTGAAGTTTGTGCTGATGATGTCGTTCAGAAGAACGATGAAAGCTCCACGACCAAACCATCCAGCACAGAGAACAAAACACCACCAAAAAGTGCATATGTATCTTGTGCACTCTTTTACCGATATCTACGTGTTCAAATAAATATAAATAAATTAAACTAATGTAGTGAATGTTTATGAAAAATATCAATAGCCCTAGTTTCTTCTAAATTTATTTAAAATATAATTTTTACTGCTACTTAAGCAAATATTAGTGAGTATATATTATACGGTTATCAACCGTACGTTTTGTTTGCCTTATAAGTTTTGGACTAGAAGCCTTTACATTATTGTGGGTAACGTAGATAATTAATTATTAACTGATTATTTATTATAATTAGAAAATAGGTAAAATATTAGGACATTGAAATATTTGCAAAATTACTGTCAGTGAAAAATTTCCTTATATTTTTTTTGAACAGCTCAATAATCTATTCACGTTTACTGTCTAATGAATAACTTTTTTATATAATTAGTATCAAGTGTTTCCCTCACTTAAATACGTATCTTAGAAGGGATGTTCATTTCAATCTTAATATATGAAGACCATACGAATGATGACAATGATAGAATTCGCTATGTTTAAAGCGATTACAAGTTCACTTAGTCTGCGAACGGAACAAAGACCTATGAACAAAGACCAATAAACTAGCTATTCTGATGCGTCTCATTCCCGCTAACTAAAGAGAGAAGTCAAAGCTCGAACGCGTAAGTATCTTCCGCAAAAAGCCAGAAGCACGAGCGATAACAACAGACACAAATCAAAACGTATATATACAGCACAAAAGCATACTTGAGAAGCGTTACAAAATAGCATACTAAAAAACACAACGGACTAATGGCGTTTAAGATTCTCCCAAGCAGGAAAAATGACACGAAGGTAAAAGGAGCGCATTTGGCGCGAAAACAAAGAAATTTAAATTTTCAAAATAAAATTACAAAATTAGGACCTTTTCCAAGTGAGATCTGGGGATCTAACGCCCCCAACAGAATTATGTGTAATTATCAATAATTGATAATTTCAAATACATTGAGTCTTATATATAGAACGGGGATAATAAATACATTTTTGTAACATCACCATGAGTAGAAAATCGCATTTCTAACGTTGCATGACTTAATGTACTCTGAAACAGTGAATTACATTAAATCACGAAACATCAGAAATACAAATTTCTGCTTGTCGAAATACTACAGAAATATATTGGTTGCAATTATGTGTAGTTTTAAATTCACTGCATATTGTTTACTTGAATCTTCCTATTGATGTTTAGGACTGCAACTGATCAGTCTCATATTACATATGTATATACTGTGCGTATTGCTTTAATTCACAAGATAGACTCAGTAGCTAAGTGGATAATGCGATAGCGTTTGAAGCCAATGGTGCTGGGTTTGAGTCACGGAGTGAACATCAACTCTGAAGTGTAGGTACATCCAGATGGTGAGTCTCAACTACGACGAAACGCGCGTCCTGGATTCCATTACTAGCTACTATCCATGTTTACTTATGCGTAGTTTTTTTATTCGATTTCGTGCATCATGGGATGTATTACATTCATAATAAATTAATAATGTAATTTACTCTATTCGTTGTTCAATTTAGATAGGAGAAGTGTAATAGAAATGAACAAACTTAATGTTAACGAGTAATTAATTCTTTGTTATTGGAAATGATCCAAGAGTTTTGCCTTCAATGATAAATAAGAATATTTTTCAATGTTCACATCCGCATCATATTTTGTATCACTAAGTGGAACATTATGGAATTCATGTTTTTTCTAGTAGACGTTTATCTTAAGTCGTGATTTATGTTCAAGATAGATAATTAAGATCATTGTTGAGATCTAGGTTTTTTCAGATTGGAGAATTTTTCACATTATAGATAGTTTATTTGGGCTTTAAGTGACCCAGTAGTAATAAATCTCAACTGAAACATAACGTACTTTCGAAATCTAAATTTTCACACTTCATTTAACGTCACACAAAATGTACTTCATGTTGAGTCCCTTTTAGCTACGTGGCTACATTTCAGATTTAGTCTATATCATGAAGACCTTAATTGTTAGTGACTTATCAATACATTTATCACTGTAGCACTATTGTTAATATTTACTTTTCTTCTCAGTTACTGATACTTAGAATCATAAAATAATGCGGGATTTTTAAGAACCAGCTTTGACTGTTAATCATTGTGTAACCTAATTTCTCCATTTGAATTATACTTAGTAATCGTACTCACGACTAGACAACAAACATTCTTAATAATCCTTTTAATAAGTTAATGTAATTTATGGTGAGTTTTTTTATCATCACAAGAGGTAAAATAATATAAAACAATAGATGTATCCCAGAATATATCACATGACAAGATTGTTAAATGCAATGATAGTCAATCACATAATCGTTATTATGAGCACGATTCCTTAAAAAAACTAATCGTAATTAAAAGTTTTGAATGGTAATTTCTTTTATTGCATTTTGAAACAATATGGTTTCAATTTTGAAGCTGACGAGAAATCAAATTAATTTAATAGTTGAATTCATGAGACAAGTGAAGCTAGACTACCATAGAAAACCTAGAAGCACTGGACGGCCGTTTCGTCCTAGTATGCGACTCCTCAGAAATGTTCATCCACGATCCTGCACGCGGAATTAGAACCTAGGACTTATCGATCTCACGCGCGAACTCTGAACCTCTGAGCCAGCATTCAGTGGTGTTAATGTCTAACTTCAGCCAATTCACGAATTGGCTCATGAATTCAACTACTAAATTACTATAATATCCACAAAACCCCTCTCTGACTAGAAATCTTACATTTTCAATAATACATGATTGACATATCACTATAAATATAAAAACCAGTTTAACAGAACTTCTTTTCGACAGTTTAACTGGATTATACTCTTAAATAATATGTAAAAAACTTTGCATTCCAAGTGTTTTACATCTAATGTTGCTATAGTAGAATAGCATTTGTTTGCCTTTGTTCGTTTAATAATTTACTTTAAAAAAGGAGCATAATTTCCTTCTAACTTATTCATTAAGATTATATCGAAGCAATCCGCACGGGATGCACATATGACAACAAGACGGATCAATTGTATTCCTAAATAACAATAGGAAGATACACGTAAGACAACACCACATGAATTTATTCATTAAGAATCTCGAATTTCTCAATCAAAGATGATGATTCTTATTCATGTTAATTATTTCTATGATTATTCATCATATGAATCACCCTTTAAAATATAAGAAAAATATTAACCAATGAAATTGTGTTGAGTACTTGACACGTATTGTAGTGAAGCAGAACACAGGTGAGAACAAATGATTATATTAAATATTACAGAGTTACTTAATAAAATAGAAAAACCATACTCTAATACTTAATTTGTAAAATGTTCATTAATTGTCTCAAATTTTATTGTTCCTGTATTTTCATACCAATTGCTTTCTGGTCCCATTCTTCCCGTCTTGATCTTCTCAATCTTCTGCTGCGAAACATTATATTCCTGACTCGCGTTATATACTACTTATGTCGATATAAGTAGTACTCACCACAGTATTATTGATTGTTTTGAAATAAGCGTATTCATGATTTTACACACTAAAAATTTTTTTGTAGTATTCTGTAACAGTTAAAAGGTTGTTTTTGGAATCAATGAAAGTAAACCATTTAAGATGATAATGTTTAACCATTGTATTATTATTCTTAATAAATTAAAATATAGAATATTCTCATTGATCTACTTGATATTTATTTTGTTTATTCAGTTAGAAATTGTTGAATTACTTGTTAATTTCGGTGCAGATATACTAGCTGAAACTAAAAATGGTGAAACAGTATTTGATATATGTGAAGATATTGAAATGCATACACGTCTAATTGAAATTAAACAAGAAGTAGAAAGAAAAAAATCTCAACAACAAGATTTACTTAATAAACCTGGTAAACCGCGTGAATTAGTACGTCGACGTAGTAGTACAAATCCAAGAAGGTAAACTGTTGAATAATAATGTATCATCCCGTTTTTTTCTTCGTTTGTTTATAATTAGAAAATTTGTTAATTACATTAACTATCCTTAAAAACTAAACGACTTATCAGATTTACACATTATTTTGTATCGTATCATGAAATGATCATGGAGATTTATAGATAAATATTATCAAATAGTGTGTTATTCACTGAGCTAGATGGTTTAACTGCAAAGTCTACATTATCATTCTGCATAATATTACTAGCATCTTCTATCTGAATTAGATGTCTGTTTTCACTGATATCGAGATAAGAATCAACACATAATTCTTATGATTATTGTAAATAAAAAATTCGAAATTTGTGAATATTTGTAACAAATCACTTTAAGCTTTACATTTATAATGAAAACTATAGCATATAATACATTCAACATTCTACAAGTTGAAATCTCTCCTTTAATAAATTTGATTTATCAGATGTTTTGTGGCAATTTCAATAGTTGAAATCATGAGTCAGTTGAAAATAGACCACCATGGAAAACCTGGAAGCACTGGACGGCCGTTTCGTCCTAGTGTGGGACTCCTCAGCAGTGCACATCCACGATCCACTCCCTCCCCACGCGAGATTCGAACCCAGGATAATTATATCCATCATAATTGTGCTAATTGAAAAAAAATCCAAATAGTGTGGAATTCATAAGTAGAAAGAAACAACTTTTTAGTGTTCCCTTATTTCCAATGAGTCTCTAACTGTTGATAATCATATTAATAAAACTTATATAAATATAAATATTATAACATAAAATTGATCTCAATAACACCAAACAAATTATGAACAGATTATTTTATTTACCAATTATGTTTTTCATGTAAACATAAACTATGTATTGATTAACTTAATCCCCTTTAATGATGTATACATTAGTGTATTTTATGAAAATAAGATGCGTTAATTATTTTCGTTCAATAGAATTCAAATGAATCTCATCATGACACAATAGTTATTTTACTGAAAATTATATGTCATAATATTCACCTTTTCTTTGTAAAATCTATATAGGTCTATAATGTACTTAATCTAGAAAATTAAAAGTTGACATAACAATTCGTTCTTTTCATCTTGAATCGAAATGAAAGATGGATGATGGGTAGAAGTGAAATCCAGGACGCGCGTCTCATCCTATTTAGGACGTCAGCTGGATGTACAAGCAGATGGTCATCGAGACTCAGTAGCTAAATGGATAGTGAGATGGTGTTTGAAGTGAACGGTACTTCATTCATGTCACGGAGTGAACAATAACTCTGGAATGAAGGTACATTCAGCTGACGAGTCCCAAATAGGACAAAATGCGCGTCCTGCTAGCCACTATCCGTCTTTGCTCACAAAGTTTGTGACATAAGGCAATATCGAGGCAATCCGCACATATGACATAAACAGACTGATCAATCGCAGTACTAAATAACAATGGCAAGATGCAAACAAACGAAACAAGTGAATTCCAAATGATATTGATAGATGAATATATTGTTTGCTGTATTGTAACCAATGTTATCTAAAATTAACTCATATTATACATTCCAGAATGTTCAGTTCGTATTTTTTAAAGAACTAGAATGTCATAATAATAAATATAAACAGTGAAATATCAATTCAGTTTGAATGTACAATAATTAAGTAATGGAATGAATGTAATTAGTTTTGAGTAGATAGGAAAATAAATGATTTAACTAAAGATGTTTAGGTAATTCAGTGAAAATTTACTTCAATGAAAAAAAACACATCAAATATGACGTAATAATAAAAGTTGTTAAAACCTATAAATCTGTACGAACATAAATTGCTCTCAAATGCCCTGGTACGGCCGAGGGTAGGGAGAGTCAGCTCTCCCTCTAGAAATGATCTCACATGACTACGTGTATACAGCCACAGCCAGACAAGTCTTACCCACAGCAGGGGTGTTCTTTACGAAATCGAGAAGATGAAAAGCGAATGTCCGGCTATCTAACCGGGTTGGTAGACACGGAGGGTCCACCTAGTGGAGTTGGAAAACCATGATTCAAAACTAATGATGCACATGTGCTCCAGGATCCTGAAGGAATAAATAACGTATGAGCTAATGGTTGGTCACTGACCACCATGGAACTGCATCTCCTTACGTTGCTCTACTGCCTCGTGGATTAGATCTTTAGGTCAAGGACTCGGAGTGTGGCCACTTACTTTGGTTTGGGCACCCATGCAGTATCCAAGCTCTTACACAAAACAAATAATTTATGTGGCGCATATCTATTTGGTGCCTCTTTGTACTAATGTTTATGTGTTTAAATTAATAAAAAATAAATTACACATAAAATTACCGATTTGTAACGTTTTTTTAAATTAGGGTTTTTGAAAATTTGTTTGAGTTGTTTAAGGTTTTGTAAAAAGAACTTTCATTTAGCATATTATGCATATAATCTGAACTAGGAAATTGTTGGTATTCAATAATACCAAAATGTTTAACTTAATCATCCTTTATCTTACCCAGTAATTATAATATTACTCAACAAACCAAAGACTGTAGTCATTTATAACGATCCATAACCTGTAAGTAATCATCAGTCAGTCAGTTACAACGTAGGACCAGGCACATACTCATCGGTCCAAGTTGCCACACCTCATTAGCACAACAAGATGAACACTGGATTCATAGAAATAGTTAAGTCAGCGTCTAACCTCACTATTACTTACCCGGTGATCCCAGCAGATGCCAGCAATATTTCTAAGGCATCTGTGGTCAAATACAAGTAGCTTACGGGTGTCTTCTACTCTTAAAGGCCATGTTTCGCTGCCGTAAAGTAAAACAGAACGGACTGCCGCGCAGTATACTCGTCCTTTTATTGATAGACGGATATCTCGCTTTCGCCATAGGTGACGCAAGTTGGCAAAAGCCAAGCGAGCTTTTCGAATCCGTGCTGAGATTTCGTCAGACACCAACCCATTAGGGCTGATCAGACTTCCAAGATAAGTGAAGTTGTCAACGCGTTCGACTACTTCACTCCCTATCCTTAGTTCAAATGTTGACGCAGACCAGTTCTGAAGCAACAACTTGCATTTAGAGGGAGAGAAGCGCATTCCAAACATTCTGGCATTGTTGCTTAGTGCTACCAAAAGACTGCATTTTATCAGCGTCTTCATCAAACAGGACTATGTCATCTGCGTATTCTAAGTCGATAAGTGGACCTCCTGGAAGGAGATCAATACCCGAGAATTCAGTAGACGAGAATGTTATTTCGATCAGTAGGTCTATGGTGAAGTTAAACCAAAATGGAGAAAGTGGACAGCCTTGACGGACACCACTTGAGGTTGCAAAAGTAGATGACAGTTCGCCATAAGCACTCAAGACCACTGTAAGTAATCATTGAACTTTATGACAGAATAGAGAGAAAATGAGATATTTCTTCTGAAAGGAAAATATATATTTCACAACTAAAAATAATCCATACTAAGTTATTATTATATATTTTAAATTATTTTATTTTATCTTAAGCGGCACCGTACTGATTTATTATTTTTAAATAAATGGTTAGAGGTTTATTTTCATTCGATTCTGACCTTATTCGGAGAAATAATGAAAATCGATATTTTAGTTTAGTTTGGAGCTTCCATAACTGTATACACCACAAAATGTAGAACATGAAAATTTTATAAGGAGTGAAAAAACTTTCAATCACTGAGCTGGAGTCCATCAACTTCCATTTTTAACTTTAGACATATATATATTTCGGTTATTTTTTGTTGAAGAAATATTTTGGATATACTCTATGTTTTAATTTCATTGCAGTGCATCTATTCGTCGAACAAGTATGAGAGAGAAAAAAATGATCTCTTGGAAAGAAGCTAAACAAGAGGCTGAAATGCGTGGTGTAGCTACAGCATCATCAGATGAAAAGAATACATCAAAACCTTTAAGTCCTATACCCAATGGATCTACAGATCATATTCATCAAAAATCTACAACCTATCCAGAATCCCATGAACTTACTAGTCCCAAAACTATTCGTGGTTCCACACGTAGTTCACATCCCGGTCATTCCTCAAAATCTTCAATCCCACCAACATCGTCTCCAATTTTAGCTGGTGTAGTAACGCATCATGGTAGCTCTTGGTCAGGCAAAGTACAACAAAACGACACTGTTACTGAAGTTAACGGTCCTACACCATCACCTAATCTTCGTAATTCATCCAGAATGAAAGATAAAGAGGTTTGTTATTACGTTTCGTCATAAAACAGCTACACTTTTAGTGAACATTCATGTATGCATAGAATCAGTGTTTTTCAGGCAAAATAAGTTGACAGACGAAATCATAGAACAATGTATTTGAAACATCGCCGAGTGATTCAATCAATGATAATGTTGTCGTTTTTTTCCGTATAGAAACCAATTTTTTCAAAGGTTTCTTTCAGAACTGTAGACTTATTGAACACCAGGTGTTTACTTATCAATCATTCAGTCACTGACGACTTACCAAATCAGTTCTTAACGTTTATATATGTTTGATACAAGCAGTAGGATTTCTCATATGTACTCCGTCTGACTGAGTTAATCACATATTTTACATTATCAAGCTTATTATATATTACCAAAGAACATATGTATAATTCTCAATGGTATACAGATTTAAAGCCCAATGTCCTAATAATATATTTCGATTTAGTCACTAAAATCATCATCAGTTAGATGACTATACCATATGACTTTGTCTATCTATTTAAACTACTAATATCATGTTCTAATCAATTAGCGATATATTCGGCTAGAATGATATCAGAACAGCGTCAAACATATGATATATTGGTATAAGTCACTATACCCTCTATAGTATGTAAATTGATCTCCTTGATAAATCGTAACTAGTATTCTAATAGCTACCCAGTTGTGTGAACTTCCCGAATATCACAAACGGTTTATCAAAAAGGATCTTACCAAGCGCAGACTCTTAACAGTCTTAAAGAAGTAACTTACTCCATCAAGTTCAAGTTTATAAATCACTTTATAAAACCATTCGAAAAGTTGGTTATTGTAATAAACTAGAAGCATAAAAAGAAAATTACTCTCAACTTTAAGCTTATCTCACTATCTACCAATTATTCACTAAAAATCAATTACTTACTTACTTACGCCTGTTACTCTCAATGGAGCATAGGCCGCCGACCAGCATTCTCCAACCCACTCTGTCCTGGGCCTTCTTTTCTAGTTCCATCCAATTCTTGTTCATTTCTCTCATGTCTATCTCCAGTTCTCGGCGTAATGTGTTCTTTGGTCTTCCTCTTTTCCTTTGGCCTTCAGGATTCCATGTGGGGGCTTGTCTTTTGATGCAGTTGGGTGCTTTCCTCAATGTGTGTCCTATCTACTTCCAGCGCTTCTTCCTGATTTCTTCCTCTACTGGGATCTGGTTTGTTCTCTCCCACAGTACGTTGTTGCTAATAGTGTCCGGCCAATGGATCTGAAGTATTTTGCGTAGGCAACTGTTAATAAACACCTGTATTTTCTGGATGATGGCTTTCGTAGTTCTCCAGGTTTCTGCCCCATACAGTAGAACTGTCTTGACATTTGTATTGAAAATCCTGACCTTGGTGTTGGTTGACAGTTGTTTTGAGTTCCAGATGTTCCTCAGTTGTAAATATGCTGCTCTTGCTTTGCCAATCCGCGTTTTCAAATTTGCATCAGATCCACCATGTTCATCAATGATGCTGCCCAAATATGTAAAGATTTTTACATCTTCCAAATCTTCTCCGTCAATTGTGATTGGATTGGTCCATACTGTGTTGTATCGGGGAATCTTGCTTTTCCCTTTGTGTATATTGAAACCTACTGCTGCTGAGGCCGCTGCTACACTGGTCGTCTCCTGCATTCGTTGTTGCGTTTGAGATAGAAGGGCCAGATCATCTGCGAAGTCTAGATCATCCAACTGCATCCTAGATGTCCATTGTATCCCGTGCTTCCCTTCCGATATTGACGTCTTCATGATCCAGTCGATCACCAGGAAAAAGAGTGAGAGTAAGCAACCTTGCCTGACACCGGTCTTTACGTCGAACGACTTTGTCAACTGCCCTCCATGCACAATTTCGCAGTGTAATCCATCATATGAGTTCTGTATGATATTGACTATCTTCTGAGGCACGCCGTAGTGTCGAAGAAGCTTCCATAGTGTCGTTCTGTCCATGCTATCAAATGCTTTTTCGTAGTCAATGAAGTTGATGTACAGTGATGAAGTCCATTCAATTGATTGTTCCACAATGATCCGTAGAGTTGCGATTTGGTCTGTACACGATCTATCCTTACGGAATCCTGCCTGTTGGTCACGAAGTCGGGCGTCTACGCAGTCCTTCATCCTGTTTAACAATACTCTGTTGAAGACAATTCCCGGTATTGAGAGGAGAGTGATGCCCCTGTAGTTATCACACTTGCTGAGATCGCCTTTCTTCGGTATTTTGGTCAGAAGTCCTTCTTTCCAGTCTTTTGGTACCTGTTCCTCATCCCAAATCTTATTGAAGAGAATGTGGAGTATCCTTGCAGTTGCCGCTACGTTTGCTTTTAGTGCGTCTGCTGGAATGTTGTCTGGTCCTGCTGCTTTGCCACTCTTGATTTGTCTGATGGCCATGCAGATTTCTTCAATTGTTAGTGGGCCAACATTGATTGGGAGGTCCGTGGGTGCTGCTTCGATGTTGGGTGGGTTCAGTGGGGCTGGTCGATTCAAGAGTTCTTTAAAGTGTTCTACCCACCTGTTTTGTTGCTCTTCAATGTGGATGATTACCTTGCCTTCCTTGCTTTTCACTGGTCGCTCCGGTTTACGGTAATTTCCAGAGAGTTTATTTGTCCTGTCATACCGTTCTCTTATGTTTCCTCTTTCAGCCTTTTCTGCCGTCATCGCTAAATCTTCCACATATTTACGTTTGTCAGTTCTGATGCTCCTATTCACTTGTTTGTTTACTTCTGTGTATTCAGCTTGTGCCTTGGCTTTTTCTGCTCTTATTCGGCTGGTATTGATTGCTGCCTTCTTCCTTCTGTCTTGAATCTTGTCCAGTGTATCAACAGTGATCCATTCCTTGTGATGGTGCTTCTTGTGGCCCAGAACCTCATGGCATGTTGAAGTGATTGCCTCTTTGATTCCCTTCCAGTTGCTCTCCATAGTAGTTCCTTCTCCATTGAGTAGATCATGAAAAGCCTGGAACTTGTTGCTGAGGACTATCTTGAATTTGTTGAGTTTGTTAGTATCCTGGAGAAAGGCGGTATTGAACTTTTGTGATATTGTCCGCCCCGTTGTCCAGTGCTTCTTGAGTTTCAATTTCATCTTGGCGACCAGTAAGTGATGATCTGATGCTATATCAGCGCCTCTCTTGGTTCTCACGTCCTCTATAGTCCTCCTGAACGTTTTGTTGATGCAAATATGGTCGATTTGGTTTTGTGTAGAGTGATCCGGTGAAGTCCATGTGGTTTTGTGTATGCGTTTATGTGGGAATACGGTGCCGCCTATGACCAGTTCATTGAAGGCACATAGGTTTGCAAATCTCTCACCATTTTTGTTCCTTTCTCCCAGTCCGTGTCGTCCCATGATGTCTTCATATCCAGTGTTGTCCGTTCCAACCTTAGCGTTGAAATCTCCCATCAGAATGGTCAAGTCCTTTGTTGGGCACTTCTCGACGATTGACCGCATCCTATTGTAAAATCGATCTTTAGCGTCTTCATTGTAGTCGTTGGTAGGCGCATGGCATTGGATGATGTTCATTGAAATGCCCTCTTTCTTTGTTTTGAAGGAGGCTTTGATGATCCTTGCTCCATGAAATTCCCATCCTATAAGTGCATTTTGTGCTTGTTTGGACAGCATCAATGCGACTCCTTGTGTATGTGGGGCATTTACTTCTTCATGGCCGGAGTATAACAGGAGCTCTCCTGTAGTTAGTCGTTGTTGTCCAACTTGTGTCCAATGTGTTTCACTGATCCTCTAGTTTGTATCTCCTAATTTCTGCAGCAATTTGGAATGCTCTCCTGGTGTCCCACGTTGTACAAAAATTCCATGTACCTAAATAAATGGTTGGTCTGGTTGTCAGAAGGGGCATCAGCCTCGTAACTTCCGAAGGAATTCGGCTTTCATCATGAGGCGTCATAGTTCTTCTAAATGAAGACTTTCTGACTCCCGGGGCAGAGTTTAAAAGGTTTAAATAATTTTTTCTGGTTAGCGTATTTTTAGCGAGTTAGTTTTCTACGGGATGAGGACGCTAACCCCATACCCAACCCTCCTCCTTTATCCGGGCTTGTAGCTCCAGTCGCAGTTACTTAAAATCAATAGAAATCATTATTCCTGCATTCATCACACTCTTGTCTTTCTTCAATTTTCAAATTGGTCGCCGTTTTTTAACCATTCTCATTATTTCTTGCAATTGTTACTTTTTCCATTTCAGGATGTGCTGATCTGAGCTTGTTTATTTCTTTATGTAAAAAACCAAACACCACTTTTTTTAAAATTATTATATTATTTAATAGTTGAATTCATAGGTCTATTTAAGCTAGACTACCTTTAAATCATTGGATGGTTGTTTCGTCCCAGTATGGAACTCCTCGGCAGTGCGCATCCACGGTTCGAACCCTGAGCCACCGGCCTCGCGCTTAATTTATATACCACTGAGCCGGTATCCAACGGTGTTAATGTCTAATGTCCACTGTATTGTACGACCGTCCACCATTGCCTTCAGTAAGTAATTGCTTCATAACAGACACGGTTGAACTCCACTAGTCACGGCTGCTCACTAGAACTCCAGGAAGCACATCTTGTAGTCAGTCACTAGTGAGTATATAATGATTACTATCAGAATGACGGTTTGTGAAAATATTCAGAGTGGTCTAGCTTAAATCAACTTATGAGTTCAATTATTAAATTACTACAATTTTCACAAACCCTCATTCTGATAATATATTATTTATCAATTTGTTGTAACCGATTAATTCATTAGTTCACTTGTTATAACCGTTATTAATAATCATTATTTAATTTGCTAGTTATAAAATGAAGTTAATTACTCTTCTGAATTTATTTTTCGGTAATAATCTACCGGCAAAGAATATTTTAATGTTTTCTAATATGTTAAGAATTTACTGATTAATAAAACCTATAAATAGATAAGATTGTAAATCACGAATATATGAAATTGTAATTTATTTAAACAATTACAATTACATTTTGTCAATCATAACAATTTAGTTAATAGTTACTGATTTTAGACGAATGAATTAGTGGAATTTTCGACTACACTTTCTCATAAATCAATTCAAACAAAGTAAATGCAGAAAGGATTGAAACAGTGAACAGTTATCTTTTTTTATATCTTATAACACTTTAAAACGTTTCATATTAGTACATATTCTCTCTCAATTCTTAACTATACCAAGACGTAAAACTTAAAAAAGAAACACTGTTTTCTGACCCACTGACTGGTGTTTTTAAAGGAATATAAATCTAAACAAAGATGTTAAGTAAGAATTCATTCGTTATAAAATCCTTTTCGGTTTCAGTGAACATCAGTGCCCTCTATATAAGTATTTATATTTGGTCTTACAATCAATGTCCTTTTATAATGCAATACTAGACAGCGTAGTATATCCAGTAGTTCTAGACAGTGGTCCAAAATACCATGATATTCACTTCCCCGATTATTACACTATGTGATGTAGGTCCAAAGCACATGATGAATATCAGTACCTTTATGATCACAGAAAAGCTTTGCTGTAGTCTGAAAACTAGCACAAAACTTAAAGCTTCTCGATTCCACTCAACCACCTAGCTTATTCATATAATTCACGAAAATCGTTTTTAGTAAATTGATTAATTTAAACCCAGTTTTCTTCAAAGTTTCATTCGTTAGTGAAGTTCCTGAGAGTTAAGGAAAAATTGTGGTGTGGGTTCATTATATACACATAAGTAGTATAGAACGGTCAGACATAGAATGTATTCCAGAAGATCGAGAAGGAAAGAACGGGAACGAAATGCATTTGGTATGAAAATGCATGAACAATGAAATCTGAGACAATAGACTGATATTTGCAAAAGTAACAGTCAAATTTGAGACGATGGATTGATGTTTTGCAAATTCACTATTAACTATATTGAGATGCTCTGTAATTGTGTGCTCAAATACATTCGATTGTTCACTATAGAATTAATTGTCATTAACTTTCGCTTGAGACTCCTGTTTATGAATAACATTGAAAATAAAACAACTGTCCAGTAATTCATTCATTATTTTATTTTGTGTTACAGTAACTCACTATATATAATTTTTGATTCGTATACTATAATCTGAATACATACCATCGTTCTTCGTTGTTTTCCTTTTATATTCAATTTATAATTAACATGATAAACCTGCCTTTTTACTACTGTTCTTTTGTCGATTATTTTCTTTAGGTCAACCTATCCAAGCGCAACAACCCACAGTCTACACTAAATAACGACTCTGGTCCAATAGGTGTTGTCAGTCCATCTCCTGTTGCACCTCATCGTACAGGTCATGATAAAGAAGTAAGTTGATACTCTAATGAATAACTTACATAGTAAATAGTTTGAAAGCTTCTTCATTTAGCTTACTTGTATGCAATGCTATTTATGTCCTGATAAGTCCTCGTGAAGATTAACTACTCAAATATTGTTGATCCATTTATGAGATCACAACCCAACCTAAGTTAGACAGTCATTAAGAACCAGGAAGCACTAGACAGATGTTTTGTTCTAGTATATGACTTCTCACCATTGAGCAATCATGACACGACTGGAGATCGAACCTAGAACATCTAGGTCTCTTGACCAACGTCTAACCTTTTGACTATTGAGTCAGTATCCAACGGTACATATGTCTAACCTTAATTACTTCACAACTAATCTACTGTTGCTGTCAAAACTGAAATTTATCAATATTCAAACCTGTGAAGCATTGGTTAGAAGCCAAATGCTTTAACTATCAAGCTATCCCTGAAATTTTACATCAATGATAAGATATTATTTTCAGTAATAAATATAAATTACCTATATTAAGAAAGTTACAGATTTGTTTAAATTACACGAACTATAAAAAATTTATTTTGAACTAGATAACAAACATGATTTATATAAAAATTAAAAGATCTTAGATTATATAGCATTCACTTACTGTCTGTATAGTTAACATACAAAAGAATAACATCTACCAATTATGGTATCAGCTGAACAGCATAGACATGCTACTACTTCTACTATACTGGGATTTGTCTTGATAATTTTACCTCGCTGTACTAATATAGTATGGCAATATGATGAGACAACACACGTATCCGTCAGATTCTACACGTTCCATATAACTGGATGATTTATCTGATTTATATACTGGTAATTAATACAAGGTTTCTTTTAAAACTATTTTGTTATAAAAAATATGGTCAATGTTTACCTTCGTATACACATCAGAAAATGTAGAAATTAAAACTACCTTTCTGGTAGAAATCTTTTCCTTAAAATTTATGTAATCTAGATCATTTACTAAATTTGTGGTCACGTTTGACTCTGAGTCGAACTTTGTGTGAGTCAATAATATCATCTAGTTGTTTGAGCTAAATTAGAAGAGTTGACATTGGAACGTAAGATCGACTTATTGGAAAGTGAACTAACCGTACAAAACTTGATATCTTTTTTAGTATCTTTTGTATATTTCATAGACATAATTAATAGATTTATCGTTTCGACTAGGAAGTGGTTAAGGGATATTATTTTGCCAAAAAACCTTTATTTTACACATTTTACAAATGAAAAAAGATAAAACTATAAGAGATTGTCTTTTGTTTTTTTTCTCTTTTAGAGAACTGTCAGAGTTCCGTCGGGTCCTGTACAAAATCCTGAAAATGTCGGCACATTGACACGACGACCTCAACAGACAGAATACGGAAGTAAATCTCCACCAATCAGCTCACCCGACCTATCATCTCAACATCATACTCTAAGTCCTCAACTACGTCAGTCAAAAAGTAGAACAATATCTGGCGTTGAAGGGTTAGCTATTCCAGATCAGTCTGGCACTCACCTTAGGGCTCGAGTAAGTAGCCATGATAATGCATACGCATCTTCTCTTCCTCGACGCGATAACAATAACCAGACGACTGATTTAAACAATCAACCGGTTCGTGGAGAAAGACGTTCCTCCACAAGGAAGAAAAAACCAATATTATCAGAGCAAAAGCCATCAAGAAATGACAATAGAGAAACTGATATTTCAGTACATAATGCATATTGTGCACTGCCGTCTAATAATCCGTTTCAAAACAATCAACTTCGTAATGAAGAAAATCATCCTGACAGCCAAAATATTATTCTACGTTCTCCAAACATCAATCGCAATGATGTTAAACAAACAACTAGAAGTAGAATTACTTCAGGTCAACAAAGTGGTTCAGGACAAGTTGTACATGCTACAGCATCTCTACCAAGAAGGGAGTTAATCAATTATGGAGATGATTTAGGCTCCAGACCGAGTGGTAAATGTTGTGTAATAATGTGATCAAACAATACTTAATCATAACCATTCTTTCCATTTTAAATCTATCATACATTGTCTATTTTACAATCACGAACCTTTCCATATATACATATGTAATCCTGTAACAACAACAAAATCAGAATTCGCTAACTCAGTGATATATGCAAACAAAGCGTCTGACCTATCTCATATTATCATAATCTTACTGAAACCATCAAAATATTGTACATATCTATTCAAACTCCATTTTTTCTCCTCTTTGTTTTTGCTTGATTCTCTTTTTACCAGTTTTTTTCCTTATCTATACAGTTACCAATTGAATGAAATAAAAAAACAAACAGTAAACAGATTACTTCATCACGTCCAAGTTTGATGTTTTCACAGTCTTAACTTACCAAATCAAAATAGTATTTTCTAAGTTTAATGATTTTAATTTTGTTCATGAATTTATTTATTTATTTTCAGTTACATTTTTTCAAAAATTAGAAAATGAAAAAAACATTACCGTGTTTACTGAATTCAACAAAATGTCATGTCCATGTATTTATATGTATGAATGACTGATTTTGGCCACAATACCCTTTTATATATGGTTGTTTAGTGATATCCAGAGTATTATCTGATAAAATTTTATGTAATGTATAAGAAAAGCAACAAATTGATTAGGTTATCTATTTGTTTGTTTGTTCTTTTTTAAGTCTGATAAACTTATTTTTATTTTCTCGTACTTGGAACACTGTTTACCTTTAAACATCATAGCATATTTGCTTCATTGTCTTTTTCTACTTCCACGAATACGACTATACTTCATCATAGTTAATAAACATTGAATTATTAAGATGAGATATTATATTCAGTAATTATTAAGTACGTATATAAAAGTTGACTAGATCTAAGTATTTTGGAGTGTAATAATCGACAATATAAAAGAAAATATTGCCACAGAAAGACATATATCAGTTAACTGATATCCCCTTGACTTTAGCCGAAGGCAAAACAACTCGTCAATTCGCTATACACAATTACAATTAATTGTCTTTGGAAGAAGAATTCATTATGTACATTCTGATTAACTAGTGTCTTACTTTATCTGCTGCGTCAATATTGGGGTTTATTGATGGTTGTTTTTTTTGCCGACAAGCATATGGACAATTTTCAATAAATTTTAACTTGATCACAAAGCACAGTTAAATCATTTTACAGTAATTCACTGACTATTTGACAATAGAACAATAAATTCCACATATAGTAGTTCTCACAGAAACAAAAGACTTAAACTGGAATTGTCAAATATCTCGATAAAATTGTTACTTTAATTCTACATCAGTAGTTTCCATATATTAGCTTTTCTTAATCGTCCATATCCACATCAAAATACGACGTCTTAATATAATTTATATATAGTGAAATTAATACTTTTCATCACAAGTACAACAATTGACTGAATAAATGAGAATACATAAATCTGAGAATAGAAGTGATAATTTTTTTTCTTGAATAATCATTAAAACTGTAACTTTAAACTTTGAATTCGTTATACTAAAACCATATATATACATGAAATCAATCAATGAATCGTATTTTACTCACGATACCTGCTTATATATCTGGGCTACCTGTTCCAGACATCCCAACACGTTATCTGTCTTTGTTTGTTTTGATACATCATTATATCAATTAACTGTATTACAGTATTGACTATGGTTATTGACTACGTGAAGCTACTCAATGTTTTTATTGGGCATTAAGGAAAAGGTGTTTCAGATAGTGGGCGGCATCTGGGCTACCTGTTCCTGTCATCTAAATATTTCAACAAGTTATCTATTTTTGTTTGTTTTAATATATCATTATGTATATTAATCGCATAACCCATCCTAGTGCATTTCTGAAAAGTTTACAACCTTTCGTTGTCAAAGTTACAAAAAGCTCAATAAGAGATAATGTGGTCGCTGGCAATATGTAGAGAAAAGAATATGCATTATTCAGATGTTTATTTACTGGACTGCTAACATCTAACTGGCTATCACTCAATATTTATCGTCAGGATCGACCAATAAGAAAGAAACGGAAACTTGTTGAAATACTTTGTGCTGAGAATTCTATATTGTACCGAAAATATAATATTGAATAAAGCTTATAACAATAATAATAATGTACCATTCATGTTGATTAGTCTTCAACATAAATATTTACAATTATGAGGAAATAATATTTGTTAAACAGGAGGCTAGCCCATAGTAAAAAGTCCAATTGTAATAACACAAGATGATGGGAATTTCAATCTTACAAAATAATCAATTGTTTCGAAATGCTTTGTAGCGATTGGATCATAGTACCACAACATTTTCTTGATGGCCTTCTTGAATATCTGAGCTACCTGTTCCTCCCATTTAAACATTCCAACAAGTTATCTGTTTCTTTAATTTGTTTTAAAGCATTATTATGTCTATTAATCGCAAAACCTATTCAGGTGCGTTTATGAAAAGTTTACAACCTATCACCGTACAAGTTACAAAAAAGTACAACCAGAGTCATCATAGTGGCTGGCAAGATGCATTGAGAAAAAATGAATACTATTCAGATGTCGATCCCCTTAACTTCTAAGATCTAACTGACGATCACTCAATATTTATCGTAAGGATCAATTAAAAAATAAGAAAAAAGGGTTTGTTGAAATACTTTGTGTTGAGACTTCTATATTGTACCAAAAATATAATATAGAATAAAGCCAATAATAATAATGATGATAATAATAATACATTAACTTATTATTATTTATATTTTAAAAGCTATAAATGGAGATCATTGATTTAACCAAAAATAAGTATCACTTGTTGACAGAATAAAAACTGTGGAACTAATAAATATTGTTTTTCAAAAGAAAAAAATACCTACTAGCTATAAATAAACTAGAAATCGGAAATTCTTATATCTGTTTTGATAATGTAATAAGAAGATCAAGATCGTTATTATTATTATTACATTATCGAAATTTATTAAAGGGACTAATTGCTTTAACTTTCTTATATTTGTGTTTACTAGGGTAAAAAGAACAGATTGCTATATTCATTATTTGAATACTACCTAATTGTAGTTGTTTTATTTATTTATTGGAAATATCAAATTCTCCGGTTACATTTTAAATTCAAATAGTTGAAATCATGAGTTAATTGAAGCTAGACCACCAGTGTGGGACTCCTCAACAGTACGCACCCATGAACCCCCCACCGCGAGATTCGAACCCAGGACCTATCAGTGTCGCGTACGAGCGCCTAACCATTAGACAACTGAGCCGACATCCAACGGTGTTAATGTCTAACTTCAACCAATCCACAAAATTGCGCCACCGTACACCATTTTCTTCAGTGAGTTACTATCTCACAACAGACCTGATTGAACTCCAGTGGTCACAGCTTCTCACTAGAACTCCAGGAAATACCTCTTGGAGTCAGTCACTAGTGAGCAGATGATTATTATCAGTAAGGGGTTTTGTGGAGATTTTAGAAATTCCAATAGTTGAAATCATCAGTTGATTGAAGCTAAACCACCATGGCAAACCTCGAAGCACTGGACAGCCGTTTCGTCCTATTATGGGACTCCTCAGCAGTGCGCATCCAAATTAACAAAAACTATAACAGTATTAGAAATAATTTCCATATGAATTAAACAAACCACAAACGATAATATTTATAGAATATGATAACTTCATTGTATTTTTGTTGTTGTTTGCTCTTCACTTAAATACAAGCTAATATGTTTAGTTACCTTCTAATTGATAATATAATATTAACAATTAATTGTCAATCAAAATAAGTTGGATGTAATGGTGTGAAAGAATTTCAGAATTAAAGTATTACGAAGGGTAGTTATTTTGTAATAAGTTGAGGCCAACTCATTAAATTATGATGAATTCACTAAGTTAAATAAAGGGGTAATAATGTCATTAAAGTTGTTAAGGGTTAACTACTGACTTTTGAATACAAAAATCACACTTAATTCTTCTGTTACGGCTTCTGTGAATTTAAGAAATGTTGAATCGAATTACTTATTGAACAGTAATTCATCAAATCCATATTGTGCCCAGTATCTAGTAAATAGCGTGCTAATGAACTCTGCAAGCATCTTTCTCACAGGTGTTGATTTTTGGGATTTACTATTTGGTTGAGATCCAGGCGATTATTGTAACCAAAATAAATTAATATATTTGTAATATCCCAATGAGTAGAAAAATTAAATTTTCTAACGTTTCGTGACTCAGTGTAAGGCACTTCGAAAAAATAACTAAGTCAAAATTAATCCGAGTTTAAATAGTACAACAGAACATCACAAGAATATTATGTATTCAGACCTGTTTTTGATTGATCACATAATATTCTTGTGTTGTTCCATTGTACTATTTAAACTTGGATAAATTTTGATTTGGTTATTGTATCTCTGAAGTGGCGAAACGTCAAAAAATTTAATTTTCCTACCCATTACAAGCATAGGAATTTATTTATAACAATCTACCCGATACTCAATTTATTCGTAACCATCAAGTCAAACCTTGGTAATGATACCTATTGTAACCAAAAGTTGGAAATGCTGGAGTTAATGGCCTAGAAGAGCTGGAAATAGCGTAGTTACATTCATTAATTTATGTATCTTTAAATCTTGAGTTCCAAAATTATCTTCTGATTTTTTTCATGAATTCTATCATTCCACTCAAATAATAATGTCTACGCTTAGTGTTTTCTGCTACTACACATACGATTACTACTACTCTGGGATTTTTCTCCATAAATTTATCTTTCTGTGCTAATATGTTGCGGTAGCTTAAGCATATGTATCAAGTTTTTTCGTTGCTTATGATTGACTAGTAAATAAACAAACACTTCATAAATGTTATTTTACCAAATAAGTGAATACACGAAATAAATAAGGTTTACAGTTACGAATTGTTACCATAGTTTGAATTTCATACAGTACACAATCATCAATAAAAATACCAGAAACACAATTACAAAAGACAAAAAAAGAGAGAAGGAAACACAAAACTGAACACTTTACAAACAAACCATCAATCAATTTTAGCAAATAAGAATTTAAAATTAATTTTTCCATACTTCCATTTCGCTATATTTTTTACAAGAATTTTGCTGAACAATCAAATCGTAACAAATATTTCATATCTTTTTTAAATTCAGATTTTATTTTGTACAGTTTGTTTAAGGGAGATAGAAAGAGAGAGAAGAAAAAAAGATAGATAAATACGGTTACAAAGTGTATTCATTTATTATTCGTCTGTATTTTTACGGATTGTTTCATGTACAGCACTGATTAAAATTTCCAATTCTTCTTCTGTTTGCGGTTCACGAGATGATGTATCAGCGCCAGAACCTTTCATTTTCAATATAAAAATATGAAATGAATTATTAAAGTATAGAATTGTTAATATACTGATGATTTTAATGTCATTTTCACAAGTAAACTATCAAATTATATTAAGTTGAAATGGAGATAATAATTCCACAATACCTGATAGTAGCCTCCTTATTGCTAACTTGATAAAAATGGAAGATGTAGAGTAAAACTGACAATACAAAAGTCAAATATAGTGAAAAGTATCGAAAATTAACTAATACATCACATAGGGGTTGTGGAAATTATTAAGTTTTTCACTGAGATCATGAACCGATTGATGTTAAGACTACCATTGAAAACCTGGAAGTACAGGGTTCGAATACCGCGAACGGGATCGTGGACGCGCACTGCTAAGGAGTCCCACAATAGGACGGAACGGCCGTCCAGTGCTTCCAGGTTTTCAATAGTGGTTCAACATCAATCGGTTCATGATCTTAA